CCACCGCCCTCACCAGTCCCCATCACCACCGTCCCCACCACTGTCCCCACAACTGCCCCACTCTTCCCGCTGTCCCCACTGTCCCCACCACTGTCTCACTGTCCCTACTGTCCCCACCACTGTCCCACTGTCCCCACTGTCCTCACCGCTGTCCCACTGTGCTGTCCCACTGTCCTCACACCCCACCACCTGTCCCCACTGTCCCCACCACTCTCCCAACCGTACCACTGTCCCGTTGTCCCACCACCGTCCTCACCACCTCCCTCACAACTGTCCCCATCACTACCGTCCCCACCACTGTCCCACTGTCCCCAGCCCCCACCACTGTCCCACTGTCCCCACTGTTACCACCGTTGTCCCAACTGTCCCCACCAGTGCCCCCCCAGTGTCTCACTGTCCCCACTGTCCCCGCCACGGTCCCACTCTCCCCACTGTCCCCACTGTCCCCACCACTGTCCACTGTCCCACTGTCCCCACCACTGTCCCACTGCTGCTGTCCCACTGTCCCCACTGTCCCCACCACTGTCCCACTGTCCCCACTGTCCCCACCACTCTCCCCACTGTACCACTGTCCCATTGTCCCACCACCTTCCTCACCACCGCCCTCACCACTGTCCCCACAACTACCGTCCCCACCGCTGTCCAACTGTCCCGACTGTCCCGACTGTCCCCACCACTGTAACGTTGTCCCCTCACCATTGTCCCCACCACCACCGTCCCCACTACTGTCCCACTGTCCCCACCACTGTCCCATTGTCCCCACTCTTCCCACCACTCTCCCCACTGCCTCCACCAGTGCCCCCACAAATGTTGCACTGTCCGCACCGTCCCAACCACTGTCCCCACCAGTCCCCCCTCTGGAGTGAGGGGAGGGAGTCGTTTGCGGGCGGCCAGGAGGAGAGGGAGAGGGGGGGTCGAACCGGCAGTGAACCCCCCCAGTTTCCGACGAGGGGGGGGAGACGGGTTGGAAACCTCCAGTGACCCCTCTGGTTTCCTGCCAGCAGCGGCAGAACACGCTCTTTCCCTCTTCTTGAGGCTCCTCCTCCTCCTCCCCTCCTCCTCCTCCTCCTCCCCTCCTCCTCCTCCCCTCCTCCTCCTCCTCCTCCTCCTCCTCCTCCTCCTCCTCCTCCTCCTCCTCCTCATCGCCTCCCTCACCCGTCCACTTTTCAAATCCCCTTCCTCACCCACATTGCCCAGACGAAGGAGGGAGCAGGCCGTGGTGCTTAGCCGCCCAGCAAAACACCGACGAGGACCACTTTGTGTGGCGCCCTTTCTGTGCTTCTTCTTTGAAGAGCCCCCACCCACCCACCCCATGCCCATGCAAGAGCGGAGAGACACGAGAGGCTAGCGAATACGAGCGCACAAGTTTCATACATGGCCATGGGATATCCACGGCGGACAGGGGCACGCACCATCACACTTTGACTCAAAACTACACGGCTGAGGCGGCCGCGTGGGCACAAGCTGACGCGCCTGCGGAGGCTGACGCGTCGGCAGCCCGACGTGCTTGCGTGCCCTGCGCAAGATACTTCCAGCGCGCTGCAGAGAAAGAAGATAACCTAGGCCAGCGCGAGACACGAGCTCCATCCCTCACGAGCTGCCCTGGCGGTCAAAACTTGCACGACGTCTCGGCAGTGTGCTTGGGTGTCGGCACAGACAGGAGGCAGGCCTTAGCTTCACACACACACACACACACACACACTTCAGCGATAGATATCTAGGCAGCCTACGGCACCCAGAATCGAGCCACTCACATGTGCGAAAGAGGAGAAACAGCCAGGAAGCGTCACAGAACAGCACGCACTCGCGACAGAATTTCGGCCTGAGCCACCCCCCCCTCCGACCCCCGCGACTGCGGTTCCAGAAATGGTTGGAGCAACCACTCGGGATCAAGTTGGCCTGGAGTTTTTTCGTCGGCGGCGAGGCAGAGGCCGTCCGCACTAGCGTGGGGCAATCCGGGCAACCGATGGGCAAATTGTCCGGCCTGGAGACAGAACACGTCGTGTGGAGATGGAGTCGCAGTCGCGGTCGCAGCTGCCATCGCCCCAGGAGGCGGTGCCGTCACGGGGGACAGGCGCGCGAGGCACGCTGACCCTCGAAGCGAGGGCCTGTCGTTCACAGAGTGGGAGAATAACGATGGTCGACGACTCGGTGAAGCAAAGAAAGGCAATGTCTAACGCCAAGAGGGAGCGACGAAATCCTGAGGTGCATCTTGCCACATCTCATGATTTGCGCGCCATTCAGCACTATCCCTCCACATTGTAACTCTTTTGGCCCATCGTGACTGCTCCACGTTTCCCAGCCATTCGCCCCAACCCCATTTGATCAGCAACTGTTTCCTGCCACGTGGATAGCCCTTCGAAGCCAATGAACGGACTCTTCTTGCGATGCGTCTTAGCATCGCAAGAGCAGGAAAGCTTGGGTGCGTTTCAGGGCCAGCGATGCGCCTGAACACGGTCCTTCGAATACTACGAAGCTTCGCTTTCTGAGTGACCGTAAGTTGCCATGATTCGCAACACCATAACGCTGTCTTCGTCACCGTTGCGTCGAAGAGCTTGGATATACGGACGTGGGACGCTTCCTGCTTTGTAGAGCGCAATTATGCCAAGCCATTCTCAAGCTATTGTCGAACTCCTCGCTCGTGTTGTCGTTCATTGGAACCGAAGCACCCAATAGATTGAAACCCATGTAACTAGAGGAAACGTGATTCTCCATGATTTGAGTATGTTGCCAAATGTCTGCATGTCCGGCAAATTGCACGCTACACGTGCCAGCGTTCATGTTCAAGCCTGTATTCCCAAAATCCGCATGAATCAGCTTGAGCATTGAAACATGAGCTTGCCTCGGTTTGGCAATGAAGGTCGTGTCGCCGGCAAACATCACAGACGCCATGCGGGCTTTGCCCAGGATGCTACTGCCGACTACCTTCCCCTATCCTTTACGTTCCCATTGATCCTTCAGTCCAGCCATGGCGACACGAATCATGTTGATGAATGAGCATGGGGAGAGTGGGTCCCCTTGGCGCACGCCGTGTAAGATCACAACATGGTCGTTTCGGAATGATGCTTCCAACTCGAAGTAGGCTTGCTGTTCAACATGCACACCCTGCACTGCATTGATGCCATTGCTGTTGACACTGGCTCGCCGTAGACCGGCAAATACGGCAAAGCGATTGTCAAAGGCTTTAACCAGGTCCAGCGACGCAATGCGCAAGCTGAACTAAATCAGAACACACACGCCCATTCCTGAAGCTGCGTGCCGTTTGACCAGCACTCAGTTAGTTCGCTTCAATACAACACCACGGTATGGTTTACTCCAAGAATAACGGCAATCGGACGCAGTTGTTGGGTAATTGGACGTCCCCTTTCTTGAACAGCGAGATAATATTGGATTCGGCCCAGGCGTCAGGTACACGTGCCACGTCTGGGGATGGAGAAGAATTTAAAAACACGAGGGTGGCCCACTGCGACCACACCACCCACGACTTCACCAGTGCGAGTGTGTCTCACATCACGTTTCCGACGTAGGCGAGGCCGAGAGCCAGAGGCCGTCTGTTGGCCCGTGCACAGCGACCGCAATCAATGTACAGTAGTCTGGGAATAATGTCCACAGCGAACGCAAAAACCGCCGTTCAAACGGCGAACAACATCCCCTCGCGACATGATTCCGGTCCAGAGCCACCCTATCTCACGCCCACCACTATGGTTCCAGAAGTGGTTGGACCAACAGGCCTGGAAACAAAGACGTCGTATAATAGTAGAGAAACATGAACAAACGCTAGCGTAATCCACTGCGACCACATTACCCATGGTTTCATAGTGTAAGGGTGTCTCCTTTCACGTTTACGACTCGGGCGATATTGGAAGATCGCCCACATGATATCATGCAGACGGCGGACAATCTTCCCTGAACCGAAGGGGTTGCTGCAAGAGGGGCGCATCAGCTGGCTTTGAACACACTACCAGAGCAACAGTGAAAACATCGGGTCCCAAAAATGCGATTCTGCAAATCCACCGAGGCCCCCCGGGGCCCCGATTTTACTGCAAGTCCCCGGAGGCCCCCTGGGGCCCCGATTCTGCAAGTCCCCAGAGGCCCCCCAGTGGACTTGCAAAGAGGCTCCCGGGGACTTGCAAAATCAGGCCCCCGGGGGACCTTCGGGACTTGCAAAAGGACTCCAGAACTTGCAGAATGGCTTCCGGGACGGGAGGTGCAAAGTGGCATCCCGGACTTGCAATGTGGCCTCCGGGACTTGCAAAATGGCCTCGCGGACTTTCAAAATGCGTCCAAAATTTGCAAAATGGCCTCCGGGATTTACAAAAACGCGTCCAGGACTTGCAAAATTGCTTCCGGGACTTGCAAAATCGCCCCTGGGAATTGCAAAATGGCGTCGGTGACTTGCGAAGACGCCTTTTGACTTGCAGAATCGCCTCCAGGACTGCTCCGTAGCGAACCTCCTTCTCCGTGGCGAATCGGGCGGAACCGGAGCGAAACGCATGGCGAACCGGGCCGAACCGAACGGCACCCCTCACAACGACGAGCCGAACCGAACCGAACCGGAGAAATCCGACACCGAACCGAACCGAACCGGACCGGACTGGACGCACTTCGGAACCTAACCGAACCGAACCGAACCAGACCATTAATGACAAGGCGGTAATGCAATAGAGAGAGAGAAGAAAGGAGAAGGAGGGAGGAGGGGAGGAGCGAGGTGGAGGAAGAGGAAATGAGCAGCATGATGGGAGAAGAGGGAGAACGAGGAGGCAGTGGGAGAGACGACGACGACGACCACGACGACAACGACGACGAAGACGAAGACGAAGACGAAGATGGCGAAGATGAGGACGACGACGACGACGACGAGGCAGACGACGGCGACGACGCAGACGACACGGACGACGCAGACGGCACAGACGGCACAGACGGCACAGACGACACAGACGACACAGACGACGGCGGCGGCAGCGACGACGATGATGCCATGCAGCCGGCCGCGCCGCAACCTTCAAGGTCAGGACCCTGTCGTTTGGCCACTCGGGCGCCTGCGCCTGCAGGGCGAGCGGGGCGCGCGCGCGCAACGACGGAATGGGCAGGTGCCGTTCTCAGCTCTGGTGCGAGACGGGGTACCGCAAAAAAAAAACAAAAAAAAAAACGCCTCCTCCTCCTCCTCCTCCTCCTCCTCCTCCCCCTCCTCCTCCTCCTCATCCTCCTCCCCCTCCTCCTCCTCTTCCGCCTCCTCCGCCTCCTGCTCCTCCTCCTCCTCCTCCTCTTCCTCCTCCTCCTCCTCCTCCTCCTCCTCCTCCTCCTCCGCCTCCTCCTCCTCGGGCTGTCCGCACGATCCCGCTGGGAGAGAAATTGAGGAAGGAGGCCAGGCGAGCGGAGGGGGGAGGAGGGGCGCGGCTCCCCCTGCCATGGCCCGCGCCCGCGCGCCAGCAAAGCCTCGCAGTAGCTCACCGGAAATGCCAGGCCTCTGGGCCACCCGACACCTCCGTGAGGGGCAACGATAGGAGGGAACTGCCACAGGGGGGGAACATCGACCTGGAATCGGCGATACAACGCCGATAGATCGGAGATAGGCCCCCGATAGCAGATCCTCACCTTCCTAGGCGGGGCGGGGCTATCAGACCCCTATCGGCGATCAATGGTCGAGTGGGGGTCGATGCATCCCCCCTTACGCGCGTCCCCCCCTGTCGGTGCCCCTGACCCCGCGCGCCGCGCTCCTTCCGGCGCCCGTCGCGCGGCCGCCCCTCGCGTGGGGAAACCAAAAGGTGCTGATACCGCTAATCCCCGGACCTCTCTCGGGGTCCGTTCTGACCAGCATCCCGAGGCGAATGCAGCGGCGGTGACGCGGGCATCCCAGGAGGCCCATGAAGGGGAAAACGAGGGAAGGGTAGCGACGTCGGTACCTTTTCTGATGGGCCTATTTTCCACCAGCACTACCATGGGCAGGAGAGGGAGAGAGAGGAGGAGGAGGAGGAGGAGGAGGAGGAGGAGGAGGAGGAGGAGGAGGACCTCCTCATCCTCCCTTCTCCCCAGTCCTACATATGGCAGTGGTGGTGGAAACTTTGCCCATCATGTTCCTCCTCTGAGACTCCCCGCGCGCCGCGCCCCTGTCGGCGCCGGTCGCGCGGCCGTCATTCGCGCCCTCGCACAGGTCCCCGCGGCCCAGGCCGCGGGACCCCTGCGGGGGTGGCCCCTGCGGGGCCCCTTGCGGGGGTGGGCTGCAGTCGGGTGGGACCGGAGAGGGCCACGCGAGAGGACACAGGACTCTTCCTGACTACCTATCAGACCACCCCAACCCAACCCGAAGACTGAAAATTTGGCTTGCGGGGGGCACGAGCCCCCCCCCACTGGGATTGGAGGGCAAATTGAGGCCTCCGGGTTGGGCCGGGGTGATTTGGTGGGTGGTGGCTTCCGAGGGCGTTGTGGCCTGAAGCCAAAGAGCACCCCTGCCACTGGACTGCAGAAGACAGCAGGTGCGATGCGCAAAGCATAAGGGTGCCCTTCACTCGGCCGACTCCAGAAACCCCGAATCCAACAGAAGTGCTGTCTCGCGTTTACTTCCGCTGGCGGAGCCACCGCAATGTTGCTCCCGAAGGTCTTCCGCTGGCTTCCGCCGACGGCGAGATGCGCCGAGGGCGAGGCCATTTGCGGAACGCCCGACTTGGCTTGGTAGACCTACTGATCATATTCGATTGTACGGCCGGGCCCGTCGGTCAGCACGTCGGTCAACGCAGCGCGGCCCCTGAATGCCACGACGCAGCCTCTCGGCAGCGGGGGCGGCAGCGGCAGCGAAGAGCGGGGAGCGGGCCGCAGAGGCAGGAGCTACCAGCTTGAGCGGCGGCGGCAGAGAAAAGCAGGAGCAAGCGTGGCAAGAAATACTGCAAGTCTGCGCCGTGACGACGTCGGCGTTGGTTTCGGACATCGCGTCCGTCGCGGCTTCGGGAGACAGGCGGTGGCAGCAGAAGCAGGAGCGGCAGGAGGATCGGACAACGCCAGCAGTGTGCCAGACCAGTCCGATGCACGCTTCCGCGCGTTGCTGGCACGCGTGGCTGCGTGCAGTGAGCTCAGCTGGCACGGCTGGTTCCTGTCGAGTCGACGCAGGCTGTTCAATTCCGATACGCCTGGATCGGTCAATCTTGAGCGATTGGTGCCTTCCGACAATCGACATCGTTCAAGATTGGCCTGGTTCAGCTCGCGAGCCGCACTCGGTCTTGAACGCCCACGCTGGCGTCGCCGCCAAACCAACACGACACGAACCTTCCATGCGCTGGTGGCGTCTTCCAAGAGGAAGTTGGCCGCGGGAGGCAACGGGGGGGGCGGGGCCGGCTGCACCATCTCCACGTGCACCCCACACGTCTCGCGGAGCTGCTTCAGCCTCGCCGCGGCGGCCGGGGCCAGGGCGGGTCCTCCTCCTCCTTCTCCTCCTCCTCCTCCTCATCCTCCTCCTCCTCTTCGCCCTCCTCCTCCTCCTCCTCCTCCTCCTCCTCATCCTCATCCTCATAATCATCCTCATCCTCATCCTCATCATCACCATCATCATCAGCAGCAGCAGCATCGTCAGCATCGTCATCATCGTCAAAAGCATCATCATCATCATCATCATCATCATCATCATCATCATCATCATCATCATCATCATCATCATCATCATCATCATCATCATCATCATCATCATCATCATCATCATCATCATCATCATCATCATCATCATCATCATCATCATCATCATCATCATCATCATCATCATCATCATCATCATCATCATCATCAGCATCATCATCATCATCATCATCATCAGCATCATCATCATCATCATCATCATCATCATCATCATCATCATCATCATCATCATCATCATCAGCAGCATCAGCATCATCATCATCATCATCAGCATCAGCATCATCATCATCATCATCATCATCATCATCATCATCATCATCAGCATCATCATCATCATCATCAGCAGCATCTCAGCCTCATCCTCATTCCCATCCCCATCATCATCCTCATCCTCATCATCCTCATCATCAGCAGCAGCATCGTCAGCATCGTCATCATCGTCATCAGCATCAGCATCATCATCCTCATCGTCATCATCCTCATCATCAGCATCATGGTCATCATCATCAGCATCATCATCATCATGATCATCATCATCATCATCATCATCATCATCATCAGCATCGTCATCGTCATCGTCATCATAATCATCAGCATCAGCAGCATCAGCATCATCATCATCAGCAGCATCATCAGCAGCATCATCAGCATCAGCATCAGCAGCAGCAGCATCATCAGCATCATCATCATCATCAGCAGCATCATCATCGTCATAATCGTCCTCATCATCATCATCATCATCATCATCATCATCATCAGCAGCAGCAGCATCATCATCCCTCCTCCCTCGTCCTCCTCCTCCTTCTCCTCATCCCTCCTCTTCCTCCTCTTCCCGCCTCGTCCTCCTCCGCCTCGATCTGGTTTGCGATACGCGCATGACGCACGGCTACTTCACGCCGCCGCGACCCCGTACACCCTCTCCTGGACTGGCATTCAGGTGTCCCGAAAGCCAAGCAGTTGCCTGGCGAACGGTGTATGCAGGTGCATGTCTTCAGTGCTAGTCTACATCGTCAAATCCCTTGCGCTGCGAGAGACTGGCAACTCACTAGGCGATCGATGCTGCTGGAACCGATAGCCGAGAGAGGTGGAGGCGTCTGGGAAATCACCATGCTGACGTTGGTGCAAAGCATGCGGTCGGCCTCCATCCCAGGGGCGGAGCTTCTCTTACGGAGATCGACGGCACCGTTCGTTGTGCCAAGGCCACGGTTCGCTTAGCTGCCAAGGTGCTGCATATCTGGGGGGGCTGAACCTTCGCTGAGGTCGACCTTTTAAAATCGCCCACTGTCCCCTCAGGCTGTGGCCATTCTTGGAGGCACTCGACAGGAGCCTGGCGGTGTGAAGCTTGGTTGGGGGGGGGCACTCGCAGTCTAGATCAGCATGTCCCTGGCACGTGTCCTGGGACCAACAAGTTGTATTCGTCATGACTGGATTCTCTCAGCTCAGGCAGAAGGCCATAGCGCTTGATCACTCAGGTTCTAGAGTTACGTATGAGCGGTAAGTGGTACTGCGATTAATTCTCGCATCAGACATCGAGGTGGGGGCCAGGTGTGTACAGGTTACACGACGAAGGCTAGCCAAACTGGCTGAAGCAGCAGGAAAGGGGTGATGGATCACACAGGGGAGCACCATGCAAGTATGTAACTGCTAACCCTGCCCGTGGCAGGGTGGCGTCCCAAACCGCCGTCCTGCCGCATGCAGCTTTGTAGAGAGAAGACGTTCGGCCCAAGGAAAATCCTCCTCTTCTCACCCCCCCCCCACCCCGCCCCCGCTCCACCTCATCATCATCATCAGCATCAACACCACCGTCATTACCACCACCACCACCACCACCACCACTATCGTCATCAGCATCATCATCAGCAGCAGCATCGTCATCATCAGCATCCTCAGCATCACCATCAATATCATCAACATCAGCATCAGCAGCATCAGCATCAGCAGCCAATTACCAGCATCAGCATCGTCACACTCAACAGCATCATCATCCTCGTCGTCATCGTCATCATCATCAGCAGCATCATCATCATCACCATCAGCAGCATCAGCATCGCCACCGCCGTCATCATCACCATCAGCAGCATCAGCAGCATCCTCAGCATCATCATCCACATCATCAGCATCATCATTATACTCAGCAGCATCATCATTATCGTCAGTATCAGCATCAGTATCATCATCAGCATCGTCATCATCGTCATCATCATCAGCAGCATCATCAGCAGCACTAGCATCATCATCAGCACCAGCAACATCATCAGCATAATCAGCATCATCAGTATCATCATCAGCATCCGCATCAGCATCAGCATCATCAGCATCATCAGCATCATCAGAATCATAAGCATCAGCATCGTCATCATCATCATCATTATCAGCATCG